TCCTTCCTCTATTTCAACATCTTTGTTTTCCTCATGCTGCTCTCTCTCTCTTTCTCTTTCTCTCTCTCCCTTGCTCGCAGACTTGTGTTTGAAGGAGAGGAAAAACACAGATTCAATGCCTGCATAAACAGGTCAAAGGTCAACAGACTGGCAGGCCAGACACATGAATCAAACCCATGCAGTACCACTCTGAAAGTGAGACAGAGAAAAGTGAAAAAAATGCTGACAATCAGTTAAGTTTCTTTGTGTAGTAGAAAAGCAGTGAGAGCTCTGACTGAACAGTTGATTAATAATTCCTGGCACGCAGAGACGGAGACAGAGAGGATGTAAATGCTCAGAAGTTGATTAATGCTGCCTGAAATCAGGGAAGAGAAGCACACAATTAAATCAAGGCTCCCCATAATCCTGTAAAACACAAGAACATTTTGAGATATGAGGGCCACACAGTACAGCTGCAGTGTGTCAGTAGGTTTTTTGTGTGTGTCTCTGTGTGCAGCTCCTGCCATGTGCTTGGCGTTCCATGACTTTCCACAACACCCTGGGGTGCAGGAGATTCAGGCCCAGGGATTAATACCTGGGTTGGCATGGCAATAGTGACGCGAGGCTATCGCCATGTGACAGAAAAAAGAGGTGATTTAAGAGAGGGTGAATATAAGAAGTTATTCTGTTGGCTCCATTCGCACATGATGGAAAAAAGTCTGACATTTTTGTTTGTTTCTCATCTTTAAAATGCACCTAAAGGTGGAATAAGAAACATCACAAGCACAACATTAAATCACTGTGAGCTGAGGACTGAGTGAGCTGCTGATCAATACCAATGACTCAACAATTTCCTGGCCAGCTGCTGAGGTTCCTGCTTCTTGAGCGTCTCTTTTCAGACAGACTCTGTTTAGGAAACAATTCCTAGCTGTTATTTTTATCTTTAAATATTGTCCCAGTGAGCAGCGGTCATGGCAGAAAAAGGAGTGAAAATGTGGGACAGAAAGAGCTGAATGAGTCCAGGAGAGAGGGGGCGTGAGCGAGAGAGCGAGGGGGGGGGCGGGGGGGGGGTTGGTGTATAGGAGAAAGAGGTGAAGGAGGAGAGGCTTAGCTGATAATTCTTCTTAAAGCTTAGATGAACAGCTGATGCACCATGCACTTAATTCAATTACACACTCTCCCAGTGGGCCTCTGTGAGTCTGTTTATGATGATGTGGCTTCCTATTTTTAAAGCACTGAGCAGGAAAACTGACAGAGAAGAATAGAAACTAATGGTTATAACACATTACCAAACAGATTGGTTCTTATATATATGAATGTTTCTCCAACACAACAGTATTGTTCTTCTTCATAGTAATTCACATCAGGGTTTTTAAAATTACAGACTGGTTGTCAAATCACTGCAGCTGCACATGTCTGTCTTTTCCTATGAGTTAATTTCCTAAATGAATCAGTTCATGGCTACGACTAATAATTAATTTCATTCGCGATCAATCTGGCAATATTTTTTTTCAATTAATCAAGTCCACAGCCCATGGTGAGGTCTTTTTATTTGGTTTTATCTGACCAACAGTCTAGACACGATTTTACTATTATATAAAACAGAAACAAGCAGCAAACTCTTACGTCAGAGAAGCTGAAGCCAGTTTTATTTTAGAACTTGAACAATTAATAGTGCATCAAAATTGGTGGTTAATTTATAATAAAACAATGTTACAAGTTCATTGTTATAAGTTTCGTTTAGGTCGTTTGTCATCTTAATGTTTTTTGAAGTATTCAGCTTCTTATCTTGGAGTAAAACTTTTCTTGTATGTACAGTATGGCCAGGTTGGTGTGTGTGGGAGGAGGGGTGTTTGCGTAGGCAAACTAAACTGGTATTTTTCCTTGGGGGTTAAATGCATACCAGGAATCTGTCTCGGATGATATTTGTGAAAACATGCACCCAGGCATACACACATCGCCTCGGGCGATTCTGGAGTTATGTCATTGTGGAAGTATTGTTACTTCACTGTGAGAAAGCAGATTCCTTGAACACGTGGCGTACTGAGCAGGTGTTAGGTCGGAAATAATCAAAATGAGTATGAAACGGGACATATGTACTGTAGCCCCCCCCCCCGGATGAGTAGAATAAATAAGTAAAGGTAAAAACTAATGTCCTGTTAATTAAATGTGAAGTAATCTGCACTTTCTTTGTTTTGACATCTTCTCTCCTCCTCGCATGTATTGTTTCTCTTAGTAGTAGTTTGACATTTTGGGAAACACACTCGCTCTCAGCCGGAGAGCGAGATGAGCAGATTGATACCACTCTGGTGTCTGTACAATAAACATGAAGCTGCTGTGGGGAGGCAATTTGCTTGGCTTAGCACAAGCCGGGTTAACTGTTTCCCTCTGTGTCTTTGTGCCAAGCTAACCTCACTGGCTGTTAGCTTGAGCTTTATATGACAGTGATATCCTCATCTCCCTCTGCTACAGAGCAAATAAGTGTATTTCCCAAAATGTCAGACTGTTCCTTTAATTAATCACCTATGTTCTTAATAACACAACACAGTGTAATATGTGGCTGTGTTTGAGCTCCTCTGTCTGAAGCCTGCTGCATTCAGGACTGTAGTGAAACAGAAATGCACTGTAATTCATTTTATTCACATTTTCATTTTTGGACAGTTTATTGTCGTTTTAGACCAAAACAATCTTTATCTTTGTTTATTGTCAGTTTACCCGACAACCGCTGACTTAACGTCTTATAAGCACCATGTGTGGGTTGTAAGATTCCTCTTGTCCCTCTGATGAGCATGAAATCATGTCCACTTAAAATAAGAAAAGAAAATCTTCAAACAGTACGGTAGTGATGCAGTAATGCAGTGTGCTTCTCACTGAGCTGCAGAGGAATACAGGCGTTCTACTGTAGTAGTGTGCAAATATGGAAATGTGAACTGTGTTGGGTTATATATAACGCAACGCAGTTCACATTTCCACTTATATATCTATATATATAGATATATATATGGGAGGAGTGTGTTACCCAGGGCAGCTGAGTGTCAGCAACAAGAATGAAGGCATCAGTGCATTCCTTCTTTTGTATTCTTGTTCTTTCACTGTCTCTCTGTCTTCTTTTTTCTGTGTTCACTGGTGTGTAATTTATTCTTGAAAAAAAAAAAAGTCAAATTTGCTGCAGTGTTTTCCAGAGCACAAAATGACTCCAATGCTGCCAAAACAAAATAAATACTAATACAAATCCTTTTCATCGCCCCCGTCCCCTTACCTCGAACCTCTTCCTTGATTTCTTACTTTCTCATTGTCCTCCTATTTTCTCCTCTGTCTGTGCCCCTCACCTCCTGTGCATTGTTAATTTGCTTCATATTCTATTTATGTTTCAGTTTCATGCTGACACACACTGCCTTTGTCACACACACACATTTAGTTTTTTTATAATGCACACGCATACACACCCTTCCTAGTGAAATGGCACTTCCTCTCCACGGTCAGAATGTCACACTTTGTCATTAATAACCAAAGCAAAACAACTAATGATGGATGAATGGATTGATTGCATATGTAGAAGCTATATGTAGGCCCTTGAAAACACATCTGCAGTGAATGGGTACAATCCCAAACCTTTAATACATATAAGTATGTTAGTTTAAAATCCATTTTAAGGGTGACTTGAGATTTAATTTTTCTCTGATTTCTCAAATTACACTTCAGTTTGCTGTAATTCCATCTGGTGTTAAAAACGTCTCGAGACCGGCCGTCAGCATGTTCCACAGTGATGAATCTGGCCCTGCCGCTATCCCTCTGTAGTCTTTTATAATGGAGTTCGTAGACAAATACATTACGTTAATTAGACAAACAGAGAGAGACACCATCAGAGTGGCAGGATGAGGCAGCAGTCTGGAGCTCAGTGATGAATGGGGTGGGGGAGTAGAAGGGGAAGCACACCCAGGGGAGGAGGCCCTGCTGTCAGCCTAGCACCAGCAAGACACTCCCTTGGGTGGTCTGGAGGTGGTTGGAAAGATGAGTGTGGGGGGAAAACATGTATGTGTGTGGAGGGATGAGATGGATGAAGAGGAATGGTGTGTATATACCAGCTGTATGAATTTACTGAAGAGCAATTCATCTGATGAATGAACAAGGAGGAAACTCAACTTCAGCACAAAGGAAAAGGCCTCTATCTAAAAACGGACTTGGATGTATTTTTGAATTCATATAAATGCATTATATTGTATTATTATTTATTGATTGTCATTGATTATTTATTGTATGTCACCATACAGTCTTTGTATTCCAACAAACTTGCATGTTAAAGGTCCATATTTGACACTTTCCTGTGTTTTAGTTGAAGTGTTGATCCATAAGAAGATATATTTGAACATATTTCTCTGATTGGCTGACTGTTTTCTGAGTGATCCAATAAAAATATAACAAATTTCAGGTAAACACTCAAATCCTGCAAGGTTGGATGGTGTGTCCAGGTGGGCGGGGCTTGGGGCATGGCTGGTGGTGACAGCTTTGTTGTGACATCACAAAGTTCCAGAAGTCCTGATGGCTGGTTTTAAGGCTCAGTTTCTGAATACAGGCTGTGTGCATTTCTCTGTGGACTGAGGCTTTGATACTTTCACAGTATTAATATAGAACCTAGACCTGCTTTATAATATAACTACACTCCTTTATACTATATGGACCTTTAAAATTTCATGGTTTCACATGTAAATAAATGATGACAAGTGAAATTCTATCAAAATCTGTAACAGCGTGAAATCAAGTCAAGATAGTCCTGCATTTTTTATTTTTTATTTTTTGCTATATTTCTCACTCTTTCAATGAATTTAATTAAGTCATAAAATAGCACAAGGAACTTTTCCATTTCAAGTCATATAGCAGTTTATTATTGCCATTATCCTTTTACCATTCTCTTTTCTTTTTTTTTGTATTTTTGAATATTTTAAGCAACTTACCTGTGAAGTATTCTGTGTAGAATAATGGAGTCTGGCAGTTCATTCTCTCATTTTATAAATTTTTTTCAGCTGTTTCGAGAGGTACGCATCATGAAAACTCTCAACCATCCCAACATAGGTGAGTTACACCACAGAGAATGATCTTGGGTGTGTTTAGATGTTTGGAGGTGGTGGGTGTGTACATGTTTGTGTGTTTGTTTCCATGCTAACATTTCTTCCTCTGTGTGTCACAGTCCAGTTGTTTGAGGTGATTGAGACAGACAAGACTCTTTACCTGATTATGGAGTACGCCAGCGGAGGTGAGTTACATCCCCACCACCCTCATCATCATCATTGCCAAGTATTGAATGGTGCCAATTAGATTCTTTACTTTGACTATACAGTTTCTTTAGAGTTCAGCTGAACTCATTAATTTAGGGTTCAATGCCTTAGTGTTCATCATCTACTGTCACGTTGCTTTATTGCTCTACTCTTTTCTCTCTTGTCTTTCTCCGTGCTCTTCTATTCATCTTGCTCTTTAACATTGTTCAACTGTTTCCCATGCTCTCTGCTAGTTTTTGTAGCTTCTCTGTTTTTCTTTCTTCTCTCCTCATCCTAATCCATTCATCTCTCTCCGCTGCTCTCTCTGTATGTTGTGTGATCTCTCACTTTAATGCCTAATAAGGAGACAGTAGCTCACCAGCCGACATGCTGCTCTGTTGATCTCAACCTCAGCTTTCTGTTTTACCTTCCAGGATCTTCAGAGTGCACATACACACATACACACACACACACACACACACGCTCACGTAGAAAATATGTATGGACGCTCGCACATGAACACATTTGAAACGGTTTAATTTAAGTGTTCAAAACAAGGAATGTGTCTTCACAGAAATAAAGCAGAAGTTGTTGATGATTTCATACTTGACAAACATGACACTTGACCTGATGGCTGTTATCAACTGTTAGCTGTTTACTTTGAGGAGCTGAAAAATAATGTTAAACCAGGAAGAACGAACATTTAAGGACCAACTTATTGGAAGTCATATAGTTTTTTTGTCTCTTTCCTACACATGACAACATACACATACCCATATGCCTTTACTCATTTTAGTCAGGTCACTCGTATCACGTTTCAACCTTTTTACAGTATTATTTATTTATTTATTTATATAGCACTTTTCACAGACACGAGTCACAAAGTGCTTTACAGAGTCAAGATCAGTCACAATCCAAAAACATCGAAAATACACAACACTAGGATACAGTAGAGTATCCAGTAAAATACACATCGTTTATCTGAAAGCCTGTTTAAACAGACAAGTCTTTAACTGCTTTTTAAATGTATCACTACATTTGCTCCTGTAATGCATGAAATCAAATTAGTGTGAGCTTGACACAGACTTGATTCTCAACTCACAAACCTCTGGCAGAGTGTTGGAGGTTTTAAAACATTTAAACACACATGAACACTTACAGGTGGAAGAAAAATCACTATATATGATTGGATTGGTTATATGGAGCACTGGACTTGTAAACACACTCCATGCCTGCCTGAGCTGCAGCATGTCTTCATACTGTTTGTTTCTCCTCCAGGCGAAGTGTTCGACTACCTCGTGGCTCACGGCAGAATGAAGGAGAAAGAAGCCAGAGCCAAGTTCAGACAGGTCAGTAAAGCCCTCATACCTTACCTCACCTGTCCAATGCCTGTTCATCTGTCTGTATGTCCCTTTACAGCTGCCCTGTGAGCACGACTGATAGCTAGTCGGTAGAAATCAGTATAAGGAAAACTGCAGTCACATTAGGGTTGAAAAGCAGCACAAAGCAAAGTCTGGGCTGATTAAGAAGAGATGCAGAGGTCAGATAAATTCATCATACTCAGCAAAAGTTATGGGAGCTGAAGTCTGAGTTCATGTGGCTCATTGTTTACAGTCACAGCTTTGCTTGTAACTGGGCAGTGTGGGCCTAAAACAGACCGACACAGAAATGCAGTAAACTTTTCCACTGTGGTTCAGACCAAATAAAACAAACAGTAAGTGTGATCGCACAGCAAGAAATTCACTCATCTGCTTTTCATTCGTAATGTTGCTCAAGGAGGCATGTGTGAAATGGAGCTCCTAGTTTAGCCACCATTTACATGATGTAAGTACAAACATGAAGTGCAATTTTCTTCTCTTGTTTGATGTCTTGTCTTCTCTCTCTCTCCTCAGATTGTGTCAGCAGTGCACTACTGTCATCAGAAGAACATTGTTCACCGAGACTTGAAGGTGATTACACAGAGAGAGAATGAAAAGGGTCCAAAAACCTTATTCAGATAAACAAAAATCTGTGACAGTTAATGTCTGACTGCATATATGAATTTTACACATATTAATAAATAAGCTTGTAGCAGACATTTATTTTAAAGCTGATATCTAACTAAGTAACCAAAATGAACTTAAAAACAACAGCTACAATTTATTTAAATCAGCCATTGCAAAAGAAAACGCATCACTTCTTGAAAGAACAGATGGACTCCAGCCTTAAGTTAAGTCGTATGTGTTTCACTGTCTATGTTGTTTCCCTGCAGGCGGAGAACTTGCTACTAGACGCAGACTCGAACATTAAAATAGCCGACTTTGGCTTCAGTAACGAGTTCACTGCTGGCAGTAAACTGGACACGTTCTGCGGTTCCCCACCCTACGCTGCCCCGGAGCTCTTCCAGGGGAAGAAGTACGACGGTCCAGAGGTGGACATCTGGAGCCTGGGTGTCATCCTGTACACTCTGGTCAGCGGGTCGTTGCCCTTTGACGGGCAAAACCTGAAGGTGGGTGTCGTGTAGGCTGTGTTGGCACAGTATAATGTCATGTGAGGAGACTGAAAGCTCCCGTCAAGTGATTTCTGAGGTTTTAACTTGAGTTCAGTGAAAATGGGCACAAAGAAATAAATCCTTATTGCTATTTGACTATTTTTTGTCAATTATTTTATATATACCAAAGAAAATTAATGTACTATAGAGACATCAATATAAATTTATTTTAGATACAGTCACATATCTCCTTACCTTCAGTTTGAAGACCAGAACACCAGGCAGTTAAAAGTAGCTGTTACACATTTTCTCATTTTCTTGCCTTCTATTTTATTTTATTTTTTTCAGTTTTGCTCCTGTAGCGATCACATGTCCTTTATGAAAGGAAAAAAAAATCAGTATCATAACAAGATTATCAAAAGTATCATGTAAGAGACATTGTTGTTAGTGAGGTTGAACTTTATGTTAATGTTAACGTAAAGTCAGAATTGAAATCTGCAAATAAGTTTTCCTACTGCATTTTATCAGTTTTATAACCGCACAATTGTGCATCATAATATCACATCATACTTAATTTTAGTAATTATAATATAATATGAGTAATATTGATTCAGTGTTCCTGTAGCTGAAACTCAATGCGTCTGCCTGTGTTTTGTGTTCAGGAGCTGCGGGAGCGTGTTTTGAGGGGGAAGTACCGCGTGCCCTTCTACATGTCTACAGACTGCGAGGGAATACTGCGCCGCTTCCTGGTTCTCAACCCTGCCAAGCGCTGCTCGCTGGAGGTGAGCAGGAAACTTAACAACAATATGAGAAGGGAGGCACATACAATACATACATGAGCACATCAGTGTCTGAATGTTGAGCTGTACAATACAATCTACTTAAGGGTCTGATTGCCCTGCATGTCTCATGTCTGTAGGTCATCTTATCTTTCAAGGACAACAACAATAAATTATAACACACACAGTTGAACAAAGGCACACGAACTGAATTGTTGTTGAGTATGTAGATTAATGAAAAGAATGAAAGTTACACTTGGGGGAAAAAAAACAACAAAACATTATTGTGTGTCTGTACTTTGTTACTGTATTTGTCAAGGCTTCTTTCTCCTTCTCCCTCCTCACCAGCAAATAATGAAAGATAAGTGGATCAATGTCGGCTATGACGGCGAGGAGCTGAAGCCCCACGCAGAGCCTGTGGAGGACTTCAACGATACCTGTCGAATCGGTGAGAAACACACACGCCTTTTACCATTAATTTATTTATCATCAGAAATAAAATTGATCACAAAATCATTAACTAATAACCATGTTGCACGTTACAATAACAGTAAACAGAAATATTCAGTGAGGGTGAACTGGGAACATCTGGTTAAGGACACTGTCAGCAGTCTTCAACTCCCACAGGTTGGAGACAGAGAATCTGTAGTCGGCCATGTTCAAGAGCCTCCTGACTTTTGGCTTTTAAATAAGTACTGGTGAACTTATGTATTGTTCAGCCCCTCGGGGATTCCCTTACATGAATGTCCTATGGGATGCCATAATTTAATAACCATAAATGCTTAAGCAAACCTACATGGTGCTCCAGATATGTGCTGGCACCAGGCTTTCACACCAAGTGCTAAAGGTTCACACCAAGGTTGAACCTTTCATAAATGCACAGAAGGTCGACCTGCATGTTTCCTGCGTCACTCGTGACTTGCTGTGGAAATTGTGTAAACAACTGTTTCTAATTTCATTGGTCTCGTTGCAGATGTGATGGTTGGGATGGGTTTCGCCAGAGACGAGATCAGAGATTCTCTGGTTAGTCAGAAATACAACGAGGTCACCGCCACATACCTGCTGCTGGGACGCAAGAATGAGGTGAGTGTATCGACTTGTTTTGTTGGTTTGTTTGTTGTTTTTTCACCTTCTGTAATTGGGTGAAATAAATGAATTATGCAGTCGTGGTTACAGTTTTAACAGTAGTAGATACAGTAAGCTCATATACAACACTAAATAAAGTTATCATTAAAATGAAAAAACACCACAGTTAGAGGTGTGTGAGATTCAGAATGATGTCAGCAGTTCCTATTTCTCATTAGTTTACAGCTGTGTTGTGTCATAGTCATGACCGAATCTGTATTGTATGATTTTTTTTTTTTCTTGGTTTTGGGCCCTCTCTGATATAAACTGAGACATGACTTTACAGTAATTAAACCTGGTTTTAGAATGAACTGATCTGGACTAGCTTGATTTTCTTGGTTTTAGTAAACAACTATAGTAATGCTTGTCTCCATTCATATTGTCATTTTGAATTTTCTATCTGTTTCTGTTCATCTGTATCTCAGACTGACGGCACCGAGTCTCGGTCAAGCAGCAGTCTGAGTCTAGCTCGAGTCCGGCCCGGCACCATCACCAACGGGACCAGCAAACACTCCACTTCCTCTTCCTCTTCTGGTGCACCTTCTTCCTCCTCTGGCCACAAGGCACAGCGCAGCGCCTCCACATACCACCGCCAGAGAAGACACTCTGACTTCTGTAAGGCAGATTACAGAGATCACTCACATCCTGGGGTTTAGCTTGATCAGTTAGTGTTTGTTAGATTCAGTCTGGAGTTTTTAAATTATGACTTTTTTCCTATCTCTCAGGTGGTCCAGCGGTTCCAGGGTCGACACACCCCAAACGGAGTCCCAGCGGTGTAGGTGAAGGGGCGGGGCTTAAAGAGGAGCGGCTGTCAATCCGCAAGCCGAGCACCAATACCGTCGGCTCCCGTAGCATCCCGACCCCCTCCAGTCCCATGGTCAGCTCTGCTCACAACCCAAATAAGGCGGAGATACCTGACCGGCGCAAGGAGGTTAACTCAACCACAGTGAGTGTTTTGTGGCCGTGATGAATCATCCAGTGTAACCAATCTCTCACACTGAATCCCTTATCAATACAACATGTACAGATGGCAGAATCCTCACAGTCCTCCTAATCCCATTTCCTCAGATTACAGCACATGGAGGCTACACTGACACAGATGTTATGGAGACTGTAAACATTCACATCCTCCACAGATTAGAAAAGAGCTGAACAGTAAACACTTGCAGAGGTTGAGATAAACTGTAGATTCATGCAGCAGTGGATATGGAGATTATGGTTGTTTAGTAAAATTAGCATGAAAAAGAGAGAGAGCTGAGGGAATGTAAAGAGTTAAAGACAGAAGCCAGATTAACCTGAGATTAACTCTTTAATGTTCTGCGCGGCAGATACTCGTGACTGTCTAAGGTCAAACAGCCGAGGCAGAGAATGGTGTCACATACAGCTCATCCACCACGTCAAGATAAAAACATGTACCATTTACATCCTTTATTCTTCAGCAAATTCATGAGATTTCTGATTCTTTCCCCAGAACAACATCCCTGCTAGTGCCATGACTCGAAGGAACACGTATGTATGCACAGACCGATCCAGCACTGATAGACACCCACTGCTGCAAAATGGCAAGGAGAACAGGTGAGAGGAGGATAGGTGTCTGCCTGTGTCTCTGTTCATCTTTTACTGTGTGTATGATGACAAAATCCCCTCACAAGGCTGCTTGGGGTCAGTGACACCTTTCAAAGTGTGGGAACTCTTTTTAGATTGTGTTCAAATACAACATGAGGCAAAGATTTTTCTTTATTTGTGGGGATTTGAGCCAAAGGTCGTGGAGCATTCGTGTTTAAATATATTAATTAGGAGCAGCAGGTGTCAGCATCAGCACAACAAGTGAGAGCACCATCATCATCATCATCACCATCACAGTTCTGTGTCTGTGCTGAAAGTCTCCAAACCAGAAGATCAGGTTTCACTTTACTAATTTTCTGGTTGGTTTCACCTCAGTTCACTCAGCCTGGAGCAGATTTGAGTCTATTTGCCACCATCTTTGACTTTGCGCCAGCTTTAAATTTCTCCGCACTTTGTATGTGAAAGTTCTCAAATGATTATGAGTTGAAATTAGAATCAGGTCTAGGTTGGAGAAATGGTTGTCGCTTGGTGAAAAGCATCAGCAGATTTTGTTTTTTGAAAACAAGTGTGGTGCACAGGCTATTAATGAACTGGCTGGTTTCGTTGGCTGTTAAATGTCAGTGCGAAAAACAACAGCAAGGCAGACTTGGACAATATGAAATAAATGACATTGTAGGAAATATATTCATATTCATAGTAAATACAGACAGCTGAAGGTTTATTATCCTGGGTTGGTTTATAAAGACTGAGTCCACACAGCTTCTCCTTTATTGCACAGAGACAGTGTTTGGCACAGGGTGTTTGTCTCACATACATTTTGTCTCTTCAAGAGGGGATAAAGGGCTTAAACTGTGCATGAGTGGGTTCATCTGTGTGTATGTGTGTGTGTGTTTATTTACCCAGTATGAACTGTCTGTTGTTGTGACAGATGGTTGTCTGCTTGTCAGTCTCAGAGCATGGCGAGCACAGTCCCCTCCCTCTTTCTCACTCTCTCCCTTCCTCTCTTCCTTTGGTCACTCGCTCACTTTCTCACTTTCATTCTGGCTGGCCCTGTTTTCCGTCCCTCTGTCTCTTATTCACTCTGTACTTTTGCCGCCTCTCAAAGGGAAAGCCAGAAGGGTTCTGTCTGCCATCTGACCTCCAGTCAATTTTTCCCGTGCAGATTGTGTGTGTGTGTGTGCGTGTGTGCGCGCTCATGTGTTAAATATAAGTATTGAATGTTGTGGGAAAAATCCTGTAAAGTGACGTAAGCTCCACCAACATGCTCAAATTTACCAACCTTGATGCTTTGATGATATGAAATGAAAAAAAGAAACATCAGCCAGCGCTCTGGGTGGTGTGCTGGCTCTCTGGTGTTTATGTAACAGTTGGGATTCTCTGATTTGATTTGACTCTCCTGTGAGCAGAGACACACCCGACTCTTTTACATTCAGCCATTTAAGTGAGGCATTATTCTCTGTTGCAGCTCCATTTTCTGATTTAACAGGTGGTGCTGAGGGATGTAGGCATGGAGGGAAAAGAGTGGCAGGTATAACGAGGGAATGATGATAGGATGAGGAAAAGAGAAAGTAGAAAGGGAGGAAGAGATGAAAGAGGGCGGAAAGAGAGGGGAGTGGTGGGGGGTGAGCAGTAGTGAGCAGCAGAATGAAGTGAGGACTGGCATTGTGCCAGTGTAACCCTCCACTTGCCTCAGAGGCCTTGTCAATCTGATGCCATGCCAGAGTGGTTGATGGGACAGACACGTGCATGGACACACGCACACAGACCAATCACACACACACACTTACGTTTCGCTGACAAAAATGTACATGATAGTTGTGGTGAAAGTGCAAAGGAGAGACACTGATTACATGTGTGTCTATTGTTATTCATAAGCCGTTTATATAAAACTTACAGGTTCTGCGTATTATACACACAGACGTTAACCTATGACGACACAGATCAAGATGTTGTAGAGTTCTACCTGTGTTTTAATGTTGAACTCTGAAATTCATATGATTATAATTATTCATTTATAATAATTAATGTAAGTCAGTGTCACTGTAGAAATATTTTCATCTTTAGTTAGAAAAAGCTAAAATGTTTTATGTCATGTTTGAGTGCAGGTGTACAAATCGTTATTAAAACTCCAGTGCAGTAGTACTGGCTGATTTGATCACTAATAACTCCTGATTATCTCAACCCACCCATTCAACTCTGTCATGTAAACGACTGACATGTATAACGTTTGTTTGCGTCATGCAGAGGAGGGAAAAAAAAGCACTGGAAATCTCGCAGGAGTTCTCTGTGTGACAGAGAGTTCAACATCATTAGTTTCTTTCACTGTTTCTTTTCTTTTCCACTTTTGAACCATGTCACTCTCTCATCCTCCCTTTCTCTTCTCTCTACCATTTTTTTACTCTTTCTCCAACCCCCTCTACCCCTCTGTTCTCTTCTCTACCTACTGCACCTAGCTGCAGCGGGGGTGTGCCCCCCCCCCCCGCAGCAAGCTGCAGTAGCCACCTAGTTCACGTTGATATTAAATGATTTTGCTCTGCAACGGCTGCACTTCAACTTAACCCATCTAATGGTTCTGCCCCACTTGAACCCTGTGTGTGGGTGTTATCTAGAGCGTTATGAAAAGCAGCCTGAGGCCACCAGCCAGCCAGAGAATCAGGGGTGGAGAGGTGTGTGTGTGTGTGTGTGTGTGTGTGTGTGTGTGTTTGTGTGTGTGTTTGTGTGTATGTGGAGGTGTCACAAAGTGTGAGTGTTGGATAAAGAGAAAAGAATTGGACGAGAGGTAGGGGGGATGCAGACAGATGAGGGGGAGGGGGTGGCTCAGTGGGGAGAGAGAGAACGTTTTGGGTCCATTTTTAAAGATTAGAGGAGAACTGGTGGTTATGATGTGAGGAGCAGCTCTCACTCTCTTACACCGTTACATTTCCTTTGTGTAGGTGTTCATGCTGCCGGAAAAAAAATTAAAATGAATTCAGTGTTGCTTGATTGTAATCATAAATTCAAGGAACACTAATCTTTACACACTTTAAAACTTATTGGGTCAAAAAACTAAACAAAACAAAAGCCAGGTAGTCAAATATCCGCTTTTATGACCCTGCCTTCCATGATTTAGGGGCATATTCATTAGAAATACACCATGTAACTGGATTTACTCTGTAATGTAAAAAACTGCTCTATAATTCAAGGCATATGTGATTCTTGCACAGTTCATGCATCTGCTAATAGAAATGATTTTGATTGCAACTATTCTTTCTTTATTTTCCTCCTCCTCTTCCCTCTCCTTCCTCCCTCCCTCCCTCCAGTACCTTATCCCACCGCCTTCCCCCTGCCTCCCCCTCCACCCACAGCATTGCTGGCGCCTCTGGGGCCTCCTCTTCGTCCTCCACGCCCTCCTCCCGCCTCTCCAGAGGATCCACGGTGAGGAGCACTTTCCATGGAGGGCAGATTAGAGACCGTCGGCCTCCCTCTCATGCTCCCCCAGCTTCCCCTACACCGTCCCACGATGCCAGCCCGCTGCCCCACGCCAGGACCCGGGCCACGAGCAACCTGCTGAGCAAACTCACCTCCAAGTTGACCCGCAGGTAAGAGGAGAAGCTGGGAGAATAAGAAGGGAAGGAAAGAAAAGAAGGTTTCTGTATAGCCAATTGTTTATCATAAAGAGAAATTAGATTTGCTTTCGTTCAGAGGGGGGACTTAAGGTGAAGCAGGAAGAGGAAGTATATGTGTTATTGTATGTGATAATTATCACTAATCTTCCAAATGTGGTGAAGTGGTAGCAGACTGTGTGTTTAAAGGCTTGTAACTGGACAGTGTAGCTGTTTTGCTGTAAACCTGTACATGAAGATCATTTAGCTAACCGTGCTGCCTCTCACCGTCTATTCCTTAACAAGTACTAACCTACCAGCCTTCCTTCTCTAATAATACAGCTTCACAGAAGGCTTCAGACCTTGTCCTTCTTAATCTCAGACCTGGGTCTAATAGTGTTCAAACAGTATTCCTACTGTTTGTTTTACTTGCTGAAATTAGACATCTTGTGTGTGCGTTTGTTTTCTGCCAGCAGCTGTAGGATTTCCTCCCATAACCACCTGCTTCCTACAACATTTTACTATTGAAAATCTGTCTGCGCCTTCCCACAGGAAGGATGAAGGAATGAAATTAGTAAATAATAATTAATAAAGTAATAGTGAAATAGTAAATAATGTATATGATAAGACATATTCTGAAAATAAGCCTCATAAAAAGTTTTAAAAAGTAAAAATAAAAACACATCCAGCATGAGGCAGTATTACGTAAAATTGGATCAAACTATAGCTTGTGTCTTTCTTTATGTTTCCCTTAGAAACAGATACAGACAAACAACTAGTGTTATTGCTGATTGATTTTGTATGTTTAGATTAAGGCTTGTAGTTTCTTTTTTTTTAATTTAAGATTACTCGGTTCTTTCCAGGAAATTTTAAATTGAACAAACAGGATGGTGATTTCTAATGTTAGACATGAATGTATCTCACTACATTAATAGAGAGAGCAGGAGGCAGCAACACAGAGTGGTAACTTGGCACTGGGACGCATACAGTTTACTGGATGGTAATGGATATGATACTCTATCCTGATGTAGTAATGCTGACTGCTTGTTTCCAATAGCAGCAGAGACATTCACACAGTTGTGTCAAGTTCTGCTGGACAGTCACCCAGTCCTGTTGCAGCCCTCTCTCCTAACCAATCACATGTGTGCAGTTGGGCAGTACGTGAAGTTTGAGAAGATCAAATCCAATTGTGCCGCTGGTACTTCTCAGTTTCTGTCATCAAGACTTAGTACTCTTAGAAATCTATTTGACCCAGGTCTGCTGATCAGGTGGACACACTCCGTGTCTTTCACAGTCAGTTCTTCTTGGCTGCTTATTGTTGCTTTATCTGTTTGTTTGTTTGATTGTTTGGTTCTTTAACAAGTTTTGCTTTTCCTTGCCAGTCACCTGCCAGTCTTCTCCCCTTCTCTTTCCTGAACTACAGTACACACAGTTTGATTTGTACCTCTTCTACCTGTGCTTCTTACTGTCTGTCATCTCTATGTTGTCCCCCCCCCCCCACTTCTCTTTCATTCAATGTCTGATTCTCTGCTGTTATTTTTCCTTTTTTCCATTCCTCTCATCCTCTCTTCATCTCCTTCTCTTCTTCCTCTCTGCTCCTAGGGTCACTCTTGACCCTACTAAACGTCAGAGCTCAAACAAGTCCATGTCGGGCTGCACACTCCCACAGGGGACAAAAACAGTTAGTAAGTCTTCCTTTCCCATGTTTTCTGGCTGCTTCTGTCTGTCTGTCTGTCTGCCTGCCTGCCTGTCAGTGCACTGTCATCCCCTCTACTCCTCATTCACTGTCTGTTGCAGGTTTAGTTACACAAACATTTATCCGAGGTGAAGATACTCTGCAGGCAGGAGTTTCATCTGTGGTTGAGTTAAATTCAGCCTGCAGGTTTCTGGCTTCAGGAAAAGCTGAGCTGTGAACTGGAAAATGTCTGTTTCTCTAGACATACAAAGTAAATTCAAAATGGTTAGTTTCTCTGTGAATGTATCTTCCATCAAGAAGAGACTCAGGCTTAGAGGGGGTTATTGATAGGAGCTGATGGTATAAATAGAGTCTTCTGTCATAGTATATGATTTACAGTATTATGATATTGATTGACAGTTAAATTGAGAAACAAGTTTTTAGGTAGAATAACCTGCTTCTGGTTAATCAAGTGAGGTAGATACTTGAAAAGTCACAATTCTTTGTCACATAGATGCAAAACTCCAAAAATCCAATATGTCCCTATGTCCTTATTACAATTCACCATGTGTATTGAAAGGGTAGTTATCTCGGTATAAAGAAAATATACACTGTTATACAGTTACTGTCGTGTTTCTGATTGTTTTACATTCAGCTGGTGTCTTTGCCGCTCACTCACCTCAGCCCCACCCTGTTTGTACAAATTTAGGTTTTCTGTCACCAGAAACTGACAAAGATGGGTTGGGGTCGGAAAATAGAGAAAGCTACAGTATGCTAGGTCAGACATTAAGGAGCCTAAATGCTAAAGCTGAGAACTGGAAAGCCCTGTCCTGGTTCAGACCCAGTTTAATTCTTCTTTATAAAACTTCTTGGGTTGTGCCCATAAAAGTTTAACATAGTTTGTTTCTTCCTATAGAGCAGCTTCATCTCTAAACAATGTGTTTGTATGACTAAACCTCAGATCGGCATCCGTCTGCCTGAATGTCTGTCTGTGTGTCTGTGTGTGTGTCTGGACTGCTTGTGTCTCTGCTGGCTGGGCTTCATGCTGTAGCTCTCATTTCTGGAGCAACAAGAGGTGGACTTGGTTTATTGTTTGATTTTTAGAGGTTGGCTTTCTCTACAGCAGCTGTGACTGTTAGCAACAGTTAGCTCATGTAGCTACAGTAGAAATCAATAGTCATGCAAACACACTGACTCACAGTCACACAACTTTAGAACAAACAACCCTATGAAGATGCGTGTCTGTGAATTTATTGCAGCTCAACTGTACTAGTCTGACTCATGTAATCATCACCACATGTTTGTCCATGCTGTTAACAAATCAGCCGTCCTGCAGCAAGGCTGTGGGATCTCTGGGAGCAGAGACAGGCAGGAAAGGAGGGGGTGGGGCTTTATTGGTGCTTTGTACAAGACAGAGGCAGGGGGTAAAGGACGAAGAGTAGTGAAGAAGAAGGAGAGGGAGAGTAAATGACTTCATCACTGTTAAAATGAAGCACTGGTAATTTATAATTGGCCTAACGTGAACAACATGGTACCACCAGATATCCAGTTTGATAGGAAATGTGATGATCTGAAACCTTTAAAAGTACATGTAGTCCTTCAGAATCAAAGAGGAAAGAGAGGCGTCTTTGTAGAGCCAACGTTTCGCACCAACATTAAACAAAGGATAAACCTGTGGTCGAGAGACCAGGGTTTTATACCAGTATTAGAGGCCAGAATCCACTGTAAGAATAAAGTGAGACATAGTTTTAGCCTCTGCTCTGTAATTGTGCTCATGTTGTCTGGTGATATCTGTTGTCAAATGTCAAAAGGACATTAGGAAATTGATGACTGAAGTAGGATTAAGTCGAGTGAATGTGGAGACAGAAAAACGGTAAATTATGATAATAATAAAATAATTCCCTTCTTAATGCACTGTAGTTACTGGGGCTGCTGCTATAAGGATTTTCATTATCAGTTAATCTGTCGGATTTTCTGATATTTTTTTAGACCAAATAATGTGAAAAGGTGATGTCTTCAGATATCTAAAAAGAATCGTCTTAAACTATATTATTATATTCAGGTTACAATCATTGAAAATTAAGGAAACCTGCAAATATTCACATTCAAGAAGTTGGAACAACAAATTTTCATAGAAAATTAATCTAATATCTAAATTGTTGCCAATAAATTTTCCTTTAATGAATCATTGCAGCTATAGTGTATATATAATATAATACTCTCTTGAGGTAGTGTTGACTGATCTCAGGTCAGATTGTGCGGCACTTTGTGATCACATAGACAACATTCACAGTGTAAAGAGCAGGGAGATGCTGCTGAATAGTGAAGCAGGTACACTGACTACAGGTTAAATTACTCTTTGCTCATAAACTTGGCCTGGTTCAGGTTGTAAAGATTCATGTCTGGGTAAAAAAAAGTGCAGTTTTGAAAACAAAACTTACTCTGCATCATTTCAGCCTCGAACTTGTGACATTAAAAGTACACAGCATACGTCCGAGCCCTCTGCAAGAGCAGATGCTTGTGAGAAACATCTCAGCCTGCACCAGTCATCCTGACTGACTGACCCAGCGTCACTGCCGTTTTAAATCAGGATTAGTTATGTAACCAGGATTTATCCTTCTCTTAAACAGGGATCTTACACAGCGCTCCTTCAAGATACAAGCAGATTGTTCTGTTACTCTGCTCCTAGCTTCTCTGTCTGTCTCTCACCCTGTCTCCGTTCTCATGTCTTCTCTTCTTCTATTCTCTCTCTCTGTCACTTAATGCTCTACTTCTCTCTCTCTGTCTCATCTGCCACACATACTGTACAGTTTATACACAGTCACTGGCTCAGAGCACTAAAGTCTGTCCAGTCTTGGTTGGTTTTTCCAACCATGTGATAGCACTTGTCTTGCTCAAGGGCACCTTGGCATCAGTTTCTGAGGGAGGGCCAAAATGTTACTCACTCACTTATTTTACCCAGACAAGAAAGGCAAGCTCATAACTAGATGGGACAATTACAAAACATTTACATAATTACTGTTGTGCTGAGTAAAGACGTGTAATGAAAAGAGACAAGAGACAAAATGTGGCCTTAAGAGCCTTAAGAAAAAATGACAGGTACATGTTTGTCCAGCTCTTAACAACACACTGGTGTTAAGAGTCAAATGTTTCCAACAGAGTTGAGGTTCAGTGTTCTTAATCCAACAGGAATTCCCCTCCAGATATTTGCTGGATAATTATTAGGATGACATTCATTGATAAATGCTGATGCATATCTCAGTGATAATCTGTGTGGATTAGCGGCATTAGATCTCTCCCTGTACTTTTATAGAGAGGTGACGCAGCGAAAAAGATGCGACTCACAGTCTTAACATTTATTTAGATCTGATTAGAGCTACTGCGCTGCAACAGCTCATGAGTCACATCCAGGGCCGTGCTGGAGTAGGTTTCATTTCCAGTAAAAATAATAAAATCTATCAATGAAATTTCACTGCTAGCACCTCCAGGCCAGCCCCAGTTCCTGGAATAGAGATCAGTTTGCCAGGTTGGTGGGTAAAAGCCATCAGTGTACTCACAGGAAATAACAACAGCAGCTCCTGGTGGTGATGAAAGGGAAGTGCAATAATCAGCCTCAAACTCAATAGTATCTACATGCCAATGATACCAGGACAAAATATGAAGATCCCACATGACTTACAGTGTATTCAGAAAGTTTTCAGACCCTGTCACTCTTTTCACATTTTCTTATGCTGCAGTCTGATGCTAAAATCATTTACATTCATTGTTTCCCTCATCAGTCTATACTCAGTATCCATAATGACAAAGCAAAAACAGAATTTTAAAGGTTTTTGTAAATTTATTGAACTGAAATGTCATATTGACATAGGTATTCAGACCCTTTACTCAGTACTTAGTTGAAGCACCTTTGACAATGATTACAGCCTCAAGTCTTCTTGGGTACAAGCCTTGATTTTCTGCCATATGTCCCTGTAGATCTTCTTCAAGCCTTTTTCAAATTCCAAGAAGCTTTCATGTGTCTTTCTCTGAGGAGAAGCTTTGTCTGGCCACTCTGCCATGAAGCCTAGATCAGTGGAGAGCTGCAGTGATGGTTGTCCCTCTAGAGGTTTCACCCATCTCCACACAGCCTCTCTGGAGCTCAGCCAGAATGACCATCAAGTTCTCGGTCTCCTCTGTTACCAAAACCCTTCTCTAGAGTCCTGGTTGTTCTACGCTTCTTCCACTTTAGAATGAAGGAGGCCACTGTGCTCTTGGGAACCTTCAATGCAGCACAGATGTTTTTGTAGCCTTCCCCAGATCTGAGCCTCGACACAGTCCTGTCCCTGAGCTCTGCAGGCAGTTCCTTCTTCTTCATGGATTTTGCTCTGATATACATTGTCAGCAGTGAGACCTTCTATGGACAGGTGTGTGCCTTTCTAAATCACGTCTAGTCAGTTGAGTTTTCCACATGTGGACTCCAATCAAGGTGTAGAAACATCTCAAAGATGATCAAGAGAATGGGAGGAACCTGAACCTGAGTATCGTAGCAAAGTGTCTGAATACTTCTGTCAATGTGATATTTCAGTTTTTCCTTTTTGATCACTTTGCAAAAAAAAAACATTTCTTAGTCATTATGAGGTATTGAGGGTAGATTGATGAGGGGAAAATGAACTTAAAAGATTTTGTCTTCAGGCTGCAATGTAACAAAATGTAAAGAAGGTGAAGGGGTCTGAATACTTTCTGAATGCACTGTAAATAACAAAAAGATATAACATTCACCCAAATTTGAACTGTCGTGAGAGATGTTAGGAACATTAGTGGCATCTGTGGTGCATGTTGTTTAACCAGCCTGTTAGCCTATCTCATGTGTTCACAAACTAGATATCTAGGTTTCAGACTGATGCTCAGAGCAGAACAAACTATTTGCTAACATCGCTTTGTGTGTTCGTAAATTGTGATTATGCATGAGATGATTAATCAATGAATCTAGAGAATCATCAGCAGATGAATCAAGGTGTTGTGTTTTAATTCATTCATTTGTGATTTTACCTGCATTAGATTTGTATGTGTGTGACTCATGTGTGGCCACCACTGCAACACACACTGTATCTGCTGTCTGTCGATCCCTGACAGTCTGCTCTGGATTCACTCATTCTACGTCTGTTTATCTCCGTCTCCTTTTGTTTCCGTGGTGACTCTGACATTTTGTTGTTTCACATCCATCCAGTGTAGTGAGTGTAGGCCGGTAATGATCCATTTGTGATTTGAGGATGAGTTGTCATGTTCTGTGTCGTTGACGTGGATTGATAAGCTGTGCTGCTGATTGTCGCATTAAAAGAGGAAGTGGGGGGAGGGGACGGGGGCTGAAGGGGAAAGGTGGGGGGGGGGTTTGTGTGAGAACATGATTTGCCAAATGATTCCTAACAGATACGTTGTCTTCTTCTTGAGGGTCACAGACGAACCTGAGAGAATCAGCAGATCTCCGGTCACAAGGTGAGTGATAATTTACATTCTTTCACTGACAACCAAAGAATAATCTCAAAAATCATCATTACGAGTAGAGCCAAGAGACCAATATATCAGTATCAGTTTATATATGTATAATTAACAGGAAACTGCAGCAGAGAAATGTCATAACTAAAACAGTGACACTGTTATATAGTTTGTCCAGCAGAGAGTGATACTCACTTAGTACCTATCTTGATCACTATTCGTTAAAATCACAAATCTAAGGGATCTACATCAATGTTATTAGTTTATAATATGTGTTTATGTGAAAGAAATTACTGTAGTATCATCCTCAAAAAGTATATTAAAATGTATTCAACAGTTTAGCATGTACTGAAATGATGCTGAAGGCCTTTAGTTAACTTCTCAATGAGACAGTTTGTGAGCTCTCTCTGAGAATATTATTGCTTCAGTTAAATCTCTGTTTGACTGAAGAAAATTCACTTTGTACAATTGAACATGATAGTCAGAATTACTTTAATCTCTCACTATGATACATTTAAAAAGATGTGTTGTTTACTGTATGCGTAGACTTATATACTGTCATTGACGGTTTAACCAGTACAGGATGTAAAATTAATTTCAAGCAGGGAAACATTTTGCTCACACTGCAACAGTGAATGTTGTCGCACTGATGTGTGACCATGACTGGATTTTTTTTTTTTTTGATCAATTTCTAAACACCAGAAATTTTTATGGGGTGTTTTGCATGAGCCAACAGGGGAGCTGTTGATTACATATCCAGCACAGAGCCTGAAGCATGCTACTCACATGTGAACACCCATTTTTCTCTTTCGTGTGGTGAAGACGTGCAAAAATACGTCTATAACAAAAAAGATCTGACATTTTTTACACAGAGAACCCACACTGTTTAGTCATTTACCTACATAAGTCTCAAAACGGATAAATGCATGTAAACTTCTCCGTCCTACATCTTGTGAAATCAAGAACCAACCGCTGATCAACACCAATAACTGCTAAATATTATAATTGCTATAAATATTTAAAAACAAACATCAATACCCACCTGACCTATATTCACTATGTGTCTGTAACCCCATAGTTGCAGACAAGAATGAATGATTGATGACTGAATTATATATACTGATAATTGAAATAAAAGAGCTAAGATTTTTTTTCTACACACAGAGAAATTATTTCTCTTAAATTTTCTTCACAAATATGTTTAAATCCACGTTAGTGAGCATTTCTCCTTTCCCAAGATCACCCATCCACCTGACAGGTGTGGCAGATCAACATGCTGATTACACATGATTACTGCACAGGTGTGTCTGGGCTGGTCACAATGAAAGGCCACTCATGAAAAATGGGAGTAAAAACAAAAGTGTAGCATTTATATCATTTTATCTGAGGCAACAGTTGTTATTTTGGTGACAAAATAATAGCTTTTCACTATGTGTGGAAAACAACCACAACAATGTGAAGAAAGAAAGCTAGGTATCTAACTTTATCATTACTGCTGCAACACTTTGATTAGATCAAAGCTTAAAGGCACAGACTGTAACAGAACTTAACCTTTGTATATTTTAATCACTGTCAGTCATTATTGGTTTCGTCTGTGTGTTAGTGTGTTGAAGGCTAAACTAATTTATGAAAAAGCATTTTCAAGCCTTGTGAAAGCCTTGGTATTGACCTCCTGTGCTCTGGTTGTATATATACTGTATTATTTCAGGGTTATCAGTCTCAGCTTATCAGTATGTTACTAAAGGTGTTGCATACTTCCTCTCAGCCTCAGCTGCTCCAGCCCAGTGTCAGTCTCAGGTTAAAAACAGCAGGTAAACCAGTAGCACCAGTGTAACACTAGCTGACAGACTGTGGTGTGACCGTAGATGCTGAGCGTGGCTCCTTGTGGTAGATGATCCTGTGATGTCTGATTTAGAAAGAGAGAGAAAAAATGTTTTCATGATGCAGTTGTTGTGCTTTAAAGCAAGTTCTCTAACAAAATAAATATTATTGTATTAGTATTTTATTTTATGACTTTATCTGTATAGTTTGCTATTAATTATATACATTTTATATAAACCTCCATTGAAGAACATAATACTTGAATGATAAATTTGAGGTAGGTGTGATTTGCATATTCCTGTTGTTGATGTACATCCACTGTAGTATGAATAAAGACATGATGTTAGACTTGAAAATACACATTTACCTGTATTTACCTGTGACCTAGGTACTGTAGCAAACTGTCAAAATCCAATGATGCTGTATTAATTCTTTTTTCTTCTTCTCCCCTTCCCCTGACCATTCATTCAATTACATTCATACATCCATTCATACATTCACTTGCCTGCACTTGTCTCTTAACACGTCCATCTCACTCAAATACCCAACACATTTACTCCTTTATCCTTAACTCTGTTTATTCATGCTCCTGTATTTATATCTGATCTCACCCCTTCTTTTACTATCCCACATTTATCCCTCTCTTCATGCAAACATCTCTTATCAACCTCACTTTGTCCCTTCTGCTTTAAACCTTCGTACATGTCCTGGTCCATCCCTCACTCGCATCACCCTTCCCTTCCTCTCCCCTCTTCCAGTCGCCATCTATCTGGGCATCAGAAAGCGGCCGAGCCCCGGACCCCCCGATGCGGCTGGGATGTGAGGGTGCGGAGCCCTCGCGACCCGGCCGAGGTGGTGCTAGCGCTGCGCGAAGCGGCGCAGGGCTGTGGCTGCCAGGTCCATCTGGCCGGACCTTTCCTCCTGTCCTGCACCCACGGAGCAGCCGGCGCCCGGGTGGCTTTCGAGGCCGAGGTCTGCCAGCTGCCCAGCGGGCTGGGCCAGAGCAGCGGTGTGAAGTTCAAGCGCCTGTGGGGGGCACCGTTAGCCTTTAGAGACATCGCCACCAAAGTGTCCAAGGAGCTGGAGCTCTGAGATCGACAGGAGGCGGGGCAGGTCAATGACGGACAGGACAGGTTAATTAACAAGGAAGGATGAGAAGGAGGAGGAACAATGAGGCAGACACCACCCCTCCTCCTCTTCCTCCCTGGGCTCCACCTCATTTGATGTGGCTAGCGATGCCTCGCCTCCGCCAAAGACCCTCTTCCTCTGATGCCACCAATCACAGCCAGACAAATGGATGCACAGACACGGATAGACCGCCATCGGCAGACTTATGATGACCCTTGACCTTGGAGCTGTCAGTGACCCACGACTCCTGCTTAAAACGCGGCACCACCCCCACATTATGTGAGCCCATGGGGTTAAACTGTTTTTTTTTTTTTCCATGATTTCATATTTGATGTTGATAAGGATGGTGTTGCTGAGAATGATGGAGACTGATAATTTGTTGTTGTTGTTGTCATTGTTATTCCTGTTGTACCATATTTGTCATCATTCCTTTTTAAAGAGCTGCTATTTAAAGAAACGTTTTAATTTTTTTGTGTATTAAGTTTATTTTCTTTCTTTAATGCTTTTAAAATGGGCAGAACTTTGACATCTGTTGTCGTCCTCTGAAGCAGACGTCACATATTTAAGGAGTGAGGGCGCAGTCTGACCTCCGGCCTCCAGAGGGAGACATGCAGAAATGCAGACACTTGTGACAGACTGAATGAAGCACCACAGCCTCTCTGCCCATCCATTGACAAAGCCCATTTTATTGCTCAGTTGGGATTTTGATGTTTGTTTGCACCATTTCTGGTAAGATGTTGTCTTCTCTGGCAGGTGAGCAAAGCTGCCTCATAACACAGGACCCAAGCTGAAATGTTGACCTTGAGAACCTGATGGTTTGAGCTCAGGCTCGGCTCCTTACAGATACTCAACTTCTGCTCCTCACCACCTTTCTCAACAAGCAAAGTCCTTTCAAAAAATTTAAAATTATATTTCGTTGGTTTAAATCGCAAAGTAGAATTTTTATTTTATGTTGCAACAGAATGTCGCAGCCGGATTTGTAGTTTCTTATCTGGAGTTGGATGTACACAAGCAACAAGAGCCACTTCATATTATTGTACCTAAAAGTCTCCACTCAGGAGCTTTAGTTTATGTACATTAGAAAAGAAGTTTTTTTTCAGCCAATCAGAGACTAATATCCTATTTAACTAACATCAGCTCAAGTAAATCAAGTCAACATTTAACTAAACTACATAAATTAAACTACATTTTCACCCATAAGAAAATTAAATTTTCCTCAGCACATATCGAATCTGTGCCACAAATGCTTAAAAATCAAATTTTCTGAGCAAATACTGTACATCTGGTGCATTAGATTACAAGTCAAATAGCATGGCATCCTAGTTTTTATCTCGTGTAATGGTAATTTAACACTGTATGATACAGAAACAACAAAAAAAGCTAATTTTTTTTATTCCTCTTCCTGCTAGGTCAGAGCAGATATAACTCAAAAACCTGATCCAACATGATGATAGACTTTTCTTGTTGGTATTTGGTCAAACAGTTAAAAGTTAAACAGCCACAGATTTCTGTTTAGTGAAGACAGTATATATTTTTGTTTGTTCATTATAATTTGATCTCTTCTTCTAAACCCCCACCCCCCACACACACACACACACACACACACACACACCAACACACACTCACACAGTTACTGTAGCTAAGCTGGTTTAGAGTATATGGAGGGTTCACTGATGTGCAGTAGTTACTCTGGTAGCACCTGGGATATAACTGTCAGGATGCCTTCGCTTTCCTCAAGTGTAGTGCAATACAGCCACAAAGCCAAGAATTAAGACTTGACAAAGCATTGTGTAAGACTTAATAGGGCTCCTTGTTTTGATTTTTTTTTTTTTCATTTTTTATATTTCTGATTTATTGTTAAAATTCATTGAGCACTTTTTTTTTTCTTTTTAGCTGGGATCACATTGTACTGTTCTGCCAGAGTTTTTAATTCATCTGCTTTTTCTTTTATTAAATTGTTAAAAATCACATTGTTTGATACATTTAAAGCCTACTGAAGTGAATAATTGACACTCTGAATGCCTTTCTTTCTTTTACTTACATGTACCTACCCACAATGGTTTCTTAGCATCATTCACTTAAGGTTTCCAGGCAGAGGTGCCATTTGGTTTCACTGATGCCACACTCATATCAAGGAAACGGATAGAAAATTACCAAATTTATGAAAAACTCAAAATGGTGATTTGTCTCCTCAAAGTTTTGTCAGATTTTCTTTCGCCCAATATCACATTTGTTTTTTGTTTTTAACCTCAGCAACACTTTTGATATGTAAACTGTAGATTTGTCCCTCGGTTGACCAATCAGACGAGAGGTGTATGACTGTTGAACCAATCAGATCCCATTATTGCTGTAAGAGGTGTATGACTGTTAACCAATGAAACTCCTGCCTCATCAAACCAGTGTATAATTTAAAAGCTTGTGACATGCAGTCATGAGGCAGTGGTTTCGGACAAATGTGACCTTGAATTACCTTTTCTTTTTCAACGATGCCTCCGCCAAACAATCGAGTTGCAGGAAATATGGTCACAATCTCTCCCTCTGTTCCTGAGTGACAGCATTGGATAATGGTCAAAACCTGATGATGTCACATCGAAGTTGACCTTTTGGATATAAAAATGTCATCACTTCATCCTGTTAAATTTGTGTTAGATTTGTGTCATAATAAGTGTATACATTTTTGAGTTATGTCCAAAAACATGTATTTTGAGGTCACAGTGATGATGTCCTTTGACCACCAAATTCTAATCAGTTTCCCTTTGAGTCCATGTGAATGTTTGTACCAAATTTGAAGAAATCCCCTCAAGGTTTTCTTGAACTATTGCGTTCACGAGAATGGGATGGACGGACAACCTGACAACATGCTGTCACTGGGCAGAGGCATAAAAACAATTTGCTGCTCATCACAGAGCAAATCAACAAGACTCATCCATCATGTGTTGCTGCTTTAACACTGACGACTCCAAAATCAAAAGGTTGTTGTACTTATATTGTAACTCTTTAAAGCCAAGCAATTATAACTTGTTCTTTCAGCATCTAACAAAACACTGATATGGAAATGGAGAAGTTGGACATTACAGCAGGTTTGTGATCTTTTCGGCTGTAAGGTCGACATGTTTATCTGTTCCATGGGAGATTTCAGCTGCAGCACGTGTCCACCACTGTCTGAAAATGTGAAGCTGTGATTTAGGGCTAGTTTTAGCAATTTCTTCTTTTTTTTTTCTTCTTTTTTTTTGTGTACAACTGGGCCTCACTCTCTGAACCTGTTCTCTAGATACAGTTAGGGCCATGCTTTAAGGCTACAGTTCTGTTGTATAGTGTGTTTGAAGCTGTCACTGTTATCAACAAAACTTAACTTATGGGCTGAAATTACGGAAATGATCGACCTGCAATCCTGCATGTCTCCTAGGAAATAATGTGTGACACAAAAATAAAGACTTTCAACCTCTTTAATATTGGACGTCTATTTTTTTCTCAGATATGGACTTAATGGATTTGATGTTGTGTGTCCAGTCAAAACTAATATTAATATTTAACGATGGTGTTTAATATTGTTAACGTAATGTATGTTACTGAGTACTCCATGTGTATTTCCCATAAAGAAAACAGAGACAGAAGGTTTGATTGTTACATGGGGCATATTTTAATTGTCCAGTTATATTTTGCAACCAAAAAAAAATTTATTTTGGTGTGTATACATAGCCATGACCAGACTATGCATGGATTGATCCCAGGATGTTACAGAGAAGATGGGGAGAGCAATGATTAAAGTGACATGAGCTTAGAAAGAGGAGCAGAAGAAAAGGCAGGAAAGGAAAAGATGAGTAAAGTTAACAGAAGTAAGAAAGGAAGAAAAGAGCAGGGAGAAAAGTGGAGCGTCCTTTTGACGGAACGAAGTAAGCAGAAAGTAGCCAGTTGGCTAAGACCAGTAAGATAACTTTACAACACGGCTACCCGTTCATTTTTTTGTAATATAAAAAAAACAAACACAGACAGTCATTCAGTCATTGGTTGTCTGTTCAATTTACTTCTGGGCGGGGATCATGCCATCAATGGACTCTCCCTTCTCCAGCTTCTTCTCCATCTCAACCATCAGCTTGACACCGTCAACCACCAGCTGGACCTGGTCCACCTCGGAGGAGCCCAGACGGTCAGCGTTGGAGATGTCGAACACACCACCCACGGAGGCTGTGTCCACACCACCTGGAAGAGAAAGGGGGAGAAGAATAAATCCACCGTCAGGAGCAGCAGTAAGAGGAGAAATGTACTGCGGCCTAGAAACAATGTAAATACACTGCTCAGCTCTTGTCTTAAATTCCTCCTAGAAGTTTTTATGTCTTACTGATTTAATGCCTTCTATATAATCACTTATTTCATTTTAATAATTTATTATTTTATTATCATTCCATGTCATTTTAATGTTTTTTATTTTTTATGTTCATTTTATCTCTTTTCATGTGAAACACTTGGTTGCCCGTCATTTCTTTGTTGTAAGGCACTTTGTGCTACATTTTTTGTAAGAAAGGTGCTACACAAATAAATTATTATTATTACCATGGTAACAGTCAGTGACACCCGCGCTGAGCAGTAGCATCCAATAACAAAAAAAGGGAAAACATGGCTCATAGATATACGTCTTAATTCATCCGTTGCACAAAGCAGTTTAGTTCTTGACTACCTTAAAATGGACCGTGGTACAATGAATTCTGGGTAAATTAAGACTTTTTTCTACATAAAAAAATGGCTGACCGAGAAATCACATCCAACCGCAGCAGAAAATGTTACAAGGATGTTTGCTTGGACTCTACGTTACTTTAAGAGTGAAACAATAAAAACAAATCTGATTTGGTCTCTAAAAAGTTATTTCCTTTTCTCTTTGCTCTCTCCATAACAATGTTAATAAACCGCACATTATGAGCCATGTTTTCCTGTTTTTTCTTGTTGGATGCTACTGCTCAGTGCAGATGTCACTGTTTGTTACCATGGTAACATTGGTCTTAGGTCTGAGTTAGCCTGTGGGTAAGGTGTCTAATGTTTTTGAACAACACATGGACATCTATTGGTTGCCATATACTTTCTGTTAATGTTTTCACCAGAAACTCCAAGTTAGCCTGTTAGCTATGGTAGCAGCTTCTCTCAGCTCCTCTGAAAATGCTAATCTGTCACTAGCTTTGAGACTGATCCTTGATATAGTTTTGATTTCAGTACCTGTGCCACGCTTCTGCAGACGCAGCCTGGTCAGGATCTCCTCGAACTTGGGATGTGTGCTGAGCTTGGCCAGCTTGACGTGCACGCCACCACGCAGGCCAGTTCCCAGGTTGGAGGGGCAGGTCAGGATGTAGCCCAGATGCTCGTTCCACATGAATCCGTGGTTGTGCTTCTTGAAGATAGCCTCAATCTGACCAGCAAAGAGGAAAGTGAAATGAGAAATGCATCACAGTTCAATTATAACTGTGTGGATGTCACTAAGTGCTAACTAGATCTGTCTTTTATTAATGACAAAATTAAACATCATGCATACAAGGTTCTGAGAAAGCAACCATAAAATTCGTGACCTGGCTTTAACTCTTGTACCCACATTCCTAGTTGAAATGTGCTCATGTGTTTGCATAGCTATATGTTTATGTGAAAGTATGCACGGATGTTTATGTGTGTTACCTTCTGCAGGCCAGTGCAGAAGCGCTTGAAGACCTCCTTCATGTTGCCTCCCTTCTGCATGGAGATGACACGCAGGTGATCTTCCTCGTTCACCCAGACAAGGAAGGTCTTGTTGTCATTGTGCCTGGAGCAAGAAAGTCCAGCTCAGTCTCACACTCAGTTTACATTCAGCAAAAAAAGTTTTGCAATTTTAGTAAAAATGTGATGCACAGAAACTGAACGATGTGTGTCAAAACATTAAGTGTGAAAATGTGAGTTATGTGACCCACTGAGCTGCACAGTGGGGGATTTACAAGATGACACCCCACTTAGGGTGGGGGTGGGGTAGTGAGCTGTGGTATTCATGACACACTTAAACAGATGTTTGAAAACAGGAATAATGAGGACTGTCATATCAGGGCCGTGGGAGACAGCGACAGATGGTGAAAGTTTTAAAGATTGGCTTGGGAAGACCATATGGGAGATTTTAGCTCAGAGGAGGTTGTTTGTGTTTTGCCTGTTTGATTGTGAATAATTGTGTAGGCCAACCAAGTCTGATTTTATAGTTGATTATGGCACATACTTGACCATCTTTTCAGCATCTAGTCTGATTAGTAATCAGATTTTCTGTTTCATTTCTGTTCTGTGTGTCTGTTCTTCTCACCAGATGCCTCTGCCGTCGGGCCAGTCACGGGCCATACCAGCGCAGGTCAGCAGGGGGGACACGGGCTTGTCAAACAGGAAGTGATCAGCGATCAGCTGCTCCTGCTCAGCGTCGGTCATACCCTCAAGGGGGTAGTACTTTCCCTTGAACTCACCCTCCAGGCTGGCCAGAGCTGAGAGGAAGGACGGGGGAGAGGAGTCAGTCTCTGTCACTAATGTGTGTGTTTTTCAGTTAGAGTGGTATTAGTGTCAATAGTTTGATAATCACCCTCAATGGACAGCTTCTCAATGGCTCTGCGCTCTCCACGGCTGTTGTGGGGGGGCAGGGTGAATCCCTTGATGCTGCGGCCGGTACGGACACGGCTGGACAGCACGTAGTTGGGGTCCAGGTCATCACCACCCTGAGCGATGGAGGCACACAACAGACACATTACGTGTTGTAGCCATCGTTTTACACTCTTGTTTACAAACTAACTTGCCTCACCCATGGGTGGTTTTATAAAAGTTCACATATTTCAGTTTTTAATTTGAATATTGAATATATAATATAATTGAATATTGCCCACTTCAGATGTGCCATCTCGTTTTGAACAGACATTAAAACAAAAATAAATACATAAAGAACTGGAATAATAAGACCAGACAAAATAACACAGTCAAAGTACTGTGTCTACCTATAAACTAAAACTGAAGGTAATTACAATCAAAAACAAGAACAAATACATTTGAGGTTTGTTCCAGTCTTACAGTGCTTTGAATCAAAAAGCACACAAAAAAATCTCCCAGTTTCTGTAGAAATTATAGGCCCAGTAAAGCAAGTGTGTTGAGTGGATAGATGATTTACTTCACTAAGTTGTGATCATATGTTAGTACGATATATTAAAGCTTTTTGCCTCAAAAAAATAATTTAAAGAATGTACTGTAAGAGTATTTTTGGAGAATGGCCAATGGTAAACTTAACCTTGAAGTGATATATCCTTAACAGTAGTTTATTTTAGACAGTCAATAAATTAAAGGCTGTCAATGGCCAATTTCCTTTCCCTTAAACAATCCCATCATGCATGTCTTCTCTCCTCACCTTCAGGTTCTCGAAGTTCAGGTCGGTCTTGTGCTTGTCGGTGGGTTTGTATCCACCATGACGGTCGGAGATGATGGGGTCCAGCAGATCCTTGAAGACCTCGTAGGACTCCTCATCACCAGCAACGCAGCCCACGGTCATGATGAAGGGGTGGCCTTGGGAACAAGAGGGAGGATGAGGAAGATGGTAACATTGTGAGCTTTTATGTCTCATGTCACCTTTACTGTAGTGATAAACAGATGCTAGCAGAGTTGGATTTAGAGGCCTTTCTATAAACATAACATAATGATACAGTGTTTGCTTAAGTTAATTCATGCCTCCTGAAACCCTGGCTGACGACTCGTTCGTTCTTACCAGGGTTGTCAACACCGGTCTGGATGACGTCATCCAGGGTGAAGCCGCTGGGGGTGGACTTGCTCCTGAGCTTGCCGTAGATGTCCTTGGTCAGCACCTACAGCAAATTGACACACAGTGCAGGTCGGTGATTATACAGTCACATGACTTTAGCACTCACAAAGTGTAGGGGGTTCCAAAAGCAGCGAAAAAATGCTTGAAGTGGCTTGTCTATTCTGAGGTATATTTTGATTTGCTTTGCTTAAAAGCACAGTGTCAGAGTAATCTGGCTGGGTCCTGGGATCACACTGACACATGTGCCTGTGTGTTTTGGGTGTGTGATGAACATGACATGAACAGACAACATCAGAGCAGGATTTGTACCTTGGCCATGTGGTTGTTGTGCAGGGACAGATCAGGGAACTCATCGTCCAGGGAGAACTTCATCTTGTAGTCGTTGTGGCAGTTCTTTGCCATGGCTGCAATTCTTACTCCGTCTGAGAGGAGAGAACAAAGAGAGGACAGGAGGTTATTTCTCACAATCTGCATTGGTTGTGAGACTTTGTAGTAATTGTATACAGGGCCAGGCAGTATTAAGTCATTCTTGTGTTCAGTCAGATGAATATTATAGAAGCAGACCTGAAAAAGGGATTTTATAGTTTTACTATTGTTTTTGTGAAACCTTAATTAAAGTTTATTTGTTGCATTAATGTAACAAAACAACCTGAAACACAACACAGTGATCTGATGAATACCATATTTCTTGTCTGGTATTTCTCCAAGTTTTTCAAGGGCTGTGTCTATGAGTCTTCTGGTGAAGAGGAGACACCTTCTCATTCTCTCTTTCTTTCTTTCTTTCTTTTTCTTTCACCCTCTCTCTCTCCTCTCTATATGCTTCTCTCCAGTGTTTCCTGCCTCTTAGTGCCTCACCACCTGCACCCTCCCCCTTCACTGCCAATATTATTAATAGTCTGACTGTGCTGCTCCCTGCCACTCCCCCTCACCCCCTCCCCTCCCTTTGACCTGCACCCTCCCATCTCTGCAGCGAGCTACAGTCTCCAGCTCATTATGATGTCTGACTTTCTCTCCGCTGTCACTCTGTTCTCTCTCAGAATAACCCTAACTTAGCGGCCGGACAACTGTCCAATACAAAGTGTAGCATGGTGACTTTTGTACGAGAAGCAATAAACTTTTAAATTACCTTATGTTTGTAATACTGAAAATAACTAAAAAACATACTAATGCTCAAAAATGCAAGTGGTTAATTTAGTAATTTTTCTAAACTCAATACTATTTAATCCTTGAAGTTTTAAGTGAACTGAGAAAGCCTCTTAAAGAAGGAAAAATATTTCTGTATATTTTCACTCCAACACTCATTCATTTCTGTCTTAATGATCCAGTAACTAAAGTCAAATTACTTTGCACTTAGACACAAATGTCTAAATGCAAAGCAGGAATCAACAGAGCTGCAGCTGCAAAATCAGTCAGAATAGACATGTGGGGTCGGGAATAGATTTACTAACCACCAGCCGTCTTTCTGTGTCTATTTCCAGGTTGAGCTCTCCTTCTGTCAAACAGAGGTCAAAGCTCAGTTGCGTCAGTTGCTCAAGGTGCAGATGAGTGATGACACCTGGTACACTGAAAGGTCAAAGCTCGTATGCCTTGTGGATGGCTCCACAAGTTCCATGACCAAATCAAGCACTCCTAAACTATTCACAGACACCTCGAGCCTGCCCTGCTGGTGTCAGCAGCAGCTGATAGATAGTCACAACTGTTTCAGTGACACTACACTGCCATACTCTCAACTATCCCTGTATCAGCAGACAAGTGGTACCCACATCCAAGAAAAACACAGCGTCAAGTCTTTCAAAAAAAAAAATCTAGGTTTCAGGCTATGAAGTGCACTCAGAAGAATGATCAAAGTAGATTTTAGTAGTTTCCATATCAGGAAAAAATGTGCAAAACTTCAGAGGAATCCAAGAAGAGAAAAGGTTTTCATAGCTCCAGAGTCCACCAATGGAGGAATCTGTCTGACAGATATTTGTTGTTTTTGCTTTTTTACCTGCTTAGGAGAAAAGAAAGAGGTAACAGATCCCGGGATCAGATCCTGTCCACCAAATGTAGGGGTTGCCCAACTCCTCCAGGTGACGGACATAAGCATTTATACCCAGACCTCTGTCCCTATTGGCTGACTGGGCTTGGGGTTCCCTCATCTCATTGGTCACAGGGGGTCTTCTGTGCCTGGGTGAGTTTCTAAAAGGCAAGAACGAACATCGCACAACACTCGAGACGAGAGACAGGGCAACAGCTGCAGCTGCCCGGTCCAACCTTTCACCCTCAGCCTGCTCGAAGCTGCTCTGATGGTCATGACTATAGACATGCATGCACATGTCTTGTACTGAATCTCTCCTCCATGTTTCCCCAGGGAGTTGATGAAGCAGAAGAACTTGAATATAAAATAACCACTTTGTCTTAGATTACATCATAGTAATAGTCAAGATTACAGACTGAATTTCATTGAGCCGTGGCCCTCTCTCCTACCAATTTGCTAAGGTGTCTGCAAGTGTGAGTTTAAGAATCTGTGTTACTGCTCCCTGTGTGAAATTTCATGTGGTGATACAATTGATTTGGCAAGTCAGAGGAAGGAAAACACAAAGTCCATACACTGGAGTGTGTGTGTGTGTGTGTGTGTGTGTGTGTGTGTGTGTGTGTGTGTGTGTGTGTGTGTGTGTGTGTGTGTGTGTGTGTGTGTGTGTGTGTGTGTGTAAACGATACTCAATGTCATGACGTCTTTTAGGATATTATTGCTTAGTATGCAATGTAAATGGTTATTAGTCAACTCTGGGCTCACAGGAGGTTACACTCATACTCAGATCTAGCTTTTATAAAACTGGCACTGTACAAGTGCCAGCTTTATTACACACCAGCAGTAATGTGATAGACCTCAGTAATATGATCGCAGACAGATATTAAATCACACACACATGTGACAGAGTAGAAATCGAGGGGTGGAGCTGAGAGACACAGTGACGCAAACAGCAGGCTCACATCAGATCCAGGTTTCCCCACAACACAACAGAGACCTGGAGGTCAGATGTTTCATGTTAGATAGATTTCATGTTTCATAACAGCTCAGGCTTTTTGTTTATTAAGAGAGTAATTGTAAATATTTATATATTTATGAACTTACAGAAACTTAGAGAAAATATAACAAACAGTAAACACTTTTCATTGTGTGTTATACGGGAGAAAGTTTTGATTTTCATTGTGGTGGGAGTTGCAGTGTTCAGCGTTCATACTAGTACTAGGAAAATTTGGTTGGAGAAAGCAACTAAAAGACAGAGCTTGTATTTCAAGCTGTGTGTACAGATAAAGGCAGCATCATTTATGACAGAACTCGTGACATGAAAACAGGAAGCCTGAAGCTACAACACAAACATACAAGGCTAAAAAGGGCCAATGAAATTCACTATGGCACCCACTTACAACCGTCCAGGTGATCGTTTCAATACTCAGTGCTCTGTTTTGGTGCACCACAGTTTTGTTCTAGGCCTGCTGATATTTCTGCACACATGCTTTCAGTGGCAGACAGCCTGTCAGGAGAACCAGGACATTTCCCGGTGGCCTGAGTGTCGTTTTGTCCTGCACCATGGACATTCAACTTAACCAACCATAATATAACAAGCAGGAATGAGTTGACAGGCCTCTTGCATCACCTTATCTATCTATAACGGCTCACAGTTTGTGTCCACAGAGTTGCTGCTACTGCTAGGCCTGACTTTCTACATTGAGTTTACCTTTGATAATGGCCATCAATAATAACAATTATTGATTGTTGGTGAGCAGTCGCAAAAGAGAAGAAAGAAACAGAAAGCAGTCACATGATAATGGAAAACTACTGCCCTTCAACTAATGTTCTGTTAACTTATAGACATAATATAATTATAAATATATTAAAATATAAATATCTAATTATTATAATTATCACTGATTTTTTTTCATATATATTAGTCACAAATTCACAATTTTTTGTATTTTGTAATCTGGATGATTTTCCTCCCAGGTGAACATAATGGCCAAATTCATAACACTCTGGTACCTGTTTCATCAATACCTACAAAATAACCTACAAAATTAGACTGATGGTTTGTGAGGGTGGCCTGGGATAGAATTACATACTCAGTGTCAGTTCTTGTTTCAGTTCACCCCTGCATGCTATCATTTGGAAATCTGTGATTCACACGCTTTCATCTCTTTTCAACTTGACTATTGTAACACACTTTCCTCAGGTATCAGCTGGGGCTCCTGCTACTGTGTCTACTTATTACAAAACGCTGCTGCTCGACTCATTACCAGCACAAAAGGCAAGACCACATCAGCCCTGTCCTCACCTCCCTACACTGGCTCCCTCTTAGATTTCAAACTGACTTTAAGAATTGTATTGCTCACTGTTTAGGCCTTATATGGCCTCGCTCCTAACTACTTCTCAGATTTAGATCTGCTCTGTGACCTCTTGACCACTGAGATCTGCAGTTGGAGGCCTGCTGGTTACTCCTAGGTCATAGTTTGTGACTGAGGTTGAACCTCTACACTATGGAGCGCTCTGCCTTTAGCTCCTTTTAAATCTCTTCTTTAAACCTTTCTCTTTGTGAAAGCTTTTGGAAATGTTTGAGGTTTTTATTTGTGATGTTTTATTCCTATTTATTTGATCTTATTTATTTCATTGTGTTTTTTTATTTTTTTGTAAAGCACTGAAAAGTGCTGTATAGCCTAGATATAGTTGTTTATTATTAGTAGTATAATCATTAGTATTACTGTGTTATCAGTAAGCAAACCGTAAGATTCAGTTAATGATCACTATAAAGTAAAACCCATGTGCAATAATCAACACACAGCATCTGCGCAATATCACTTATCTGCTGCTATTTTTGTTATATTTAAATATCTAAATTTACATATTATATTAATATTATCTATTATTAATCTTTTTTAAGTATTTGATATTGATATTTTGCAGTTTTCTTTGTACTGTCCACTTTGCTGTTGTAGCACTGCAAATTTTCCCACTGTGGGACTAATAAAGGATTATTTTACCTTATCTTATCTTATGTAAGATGTAAAGTAAATTGCACAAATTGAAGCTCTGTCTTGAAAATATCTTCGTATTATCATTCTGACATTAGTGCAGAAGCTGTTAATTACCTTCAAGGACTTGTAGCAGAATAAAAGTGTGTAGAAACTCTGTTTTACTCCCCACTACCTTCAACCCCCCATCAATAAAACTCAAAGGTCACGCTGACTGACGTGCGATATGTGCTGTGTGCGCCTCCTGCCCATCCAGTTAGTTCTGTAGCTCAGATACCACTGTGGCACAGATCCAGTACCCCAGTTTAGACTGTCACTGTATCCCCCAGCACTCCTCCTACCCCCTCCCCTCACACACACATGCCCATGCCACCGGCCCACAACACAGCCAAACAGCCCCAGAAGCCTGCAGCTGCCCCGCGGAAACAGGCACCAAGGACAGTTATGTAACCAGGAACACTGTCTGAATCATTTATAATGATATAATGTGCAAAAAAATCAAGGTGGTTGAATATTTTTATGTGCTTAGTTCATACTAAATGACATGATATTGAAGTGATTACATTTTTAGTGTTTGTTTTCTGGTGTCTGTGTTAGAATATGTTGTTAGAAAGGATATAAAGTAGTTCTGATCCATGGTTTGTGTGTGTGCACGTGCAAATGTGTGCATGTATACATGCAGGTGGTGGCAACTTGAAGTTTGTTGCAGCTTTGCATTAAATTCAACCTCAGTGAAACTGATATTGGTACATTTTTGCTGAAAAATTTTGGTACCATGTGGTGTGTTGGATTCATACAAGGTCTAAACATTTGTGAGTAGTTGATACATTTAACATACAAGTAGTGATAGTAGTAGTTTCTGTTAATGTGTTTATATGCATTCTGTGTGTGAGAAATCATAGATGCATATGGGATCTTATGATATTCAACAAGTTTATACAGATTTGAAGCATTCAAGATAATCTTCATCTAAATGCTAAACTACTGTCTGTAACTTAATTTTAGTATCACATTTTCCAAGTTGCTGGTTTGTGTCATCATGCATTCTGATACCTAGAAAACAGTTTAAGTAGTAAGCAGGAGACACTGAGATAAACTGTATATATACAGCATTTTATAAACCTTGTTTGAGCTGGCGTGCCGTCTGATAACAGACTCTTATTCACAGTAAAGGCCACAGGGAGCCATGGAGGGATACATGCATTCACACATTCACACATGGGTGTTGCCAGGAACAGCTGGCAGTCTTAGCCACTGACGCACATTTGTGATGTTTGTATTTGCATTAGGCAGCCTCTTATAGCACCGATATTTGTCCTTGTGCTTCCTGTACTGAGAGAGTGAAACTGTTTTGATGCGAAACCTCAAGATGTTACAACAAATTGATCTGAGCTCAAGGTGATGTCTGTTTCATGAATTTTAATTCTTGTGTTTATCATGACATTCTCTTTCAAAGCCTCAATGTTAGTGTCTTAATCAAACTCAAATTATGAATCCAAATATAAAGACAATACTTTCTGAGCTCAAAGGGAGGTGATACTCTTATGAAAGAAGTTGCAGGCCTCTGCGAGAAGCAGCCACGATCCAGGACAGTCATGCCTTCTTTGGATTCCTCTAATTTGACCTGCACTAACTGTTTCAGACATACAAGTCCTGAGCATGTTAGTAGTTTGAAGAAACCATAAATAGACTACAGGCATTTGTAAGACGACTCTGTCAACATGTGTTCACGTTAAGTTTGAGACGGTGAAAAGTGCTGTAATGGAATGAGCAGGGCTGAATGTGGAGGAGTGATGGTGTTGGAGCCAATGAGATGTGAGGTTTTGTGTTTGGTTGTACACATCAGTGTGTACTGTTAATCTTTTGTGATGAAGGGGCGGGTGTTCATGTTCATGTATATAGAAGTTTAGGTTATTAAAACATTTGGGTAAGATTGAGGAAAACTTTCATCTTATGAAAATGAAAAGGTCAGCTCTGACTCCTCTAAAGTCAAATCTCCACAAACAGACGGCGTGTGGTAAAATATACAGTTCATATTCAA